TAAACAAGAATCGATTATTTGAAGTATATAATTATTAATTATATATAATTATAATTATTATTTGAAGCATATTGTTATACATGTTGGAAATTTATTTGTTTATAATCAAAAATTAAATTTTTTTAGAGAGATATATTTTACTTTTATTGTATTTTATAGATTGTGCTGTGTACAAAAAGCTATACCATCACAAGTTATTATAGCAAAAACTATTTCCAAGCCTCCTAAATTGAAAAGTGTGACAGAAAAAATTGCACTTCAAATCAATTGCAAATTAGGAGGAGCACTTTGGACTGTAGCTGTGCCATTGGTATATAGAAAACTTATGCTTAATTATATATTTTTATATATTTGTTTTTTTTTTACTTAATAAATTATTGCAGAAAAATTGTATGATATGCGGTATAGACGTTTATCATGGCGGTACAGGAGCAGGTTCGAGAAAGAGTGTTGCAGGATTTATCGCAAGTTTAGATTCCCAAATGACTAAGTGGCACAGTAGAATTTGTATGCAGGCCTCTAAACAGGAATTAGTGGATATGCTACAAGTGTGCTTTATTTCTGCCATTAATGCGTATCATAAGGTAATTAATAAGTTATATATTTTCGAAATGCTCGAATTAGTTTCATTGAAATGAAAATACTGTTATGTTGACAGCACAATGGATGTAATCCGGAACGTATAGTTATATATCGCGATGGTGTCGGTGATGGCGATTTAGATTATGTTGAAAAATATGAGGTAAAGCAATTATTGACGACGTTTAATCGTATTGCACCGAATTACAAACCGCAGCTCACTGTTATCATTGTGCAGAAGCGTATTAATACACGGCTATTCATCAGAGATGTGAGTATTACGCTAGATTTATTAGATCGCGAGACACCATATTTTTAATTAATAATTTGTGCTTTTAATTCGCAGAGAGGAGGTTTAGACAATCCTAGAGCAGGAACTATTGTCGATTCTTGCATAACGCGGCGAAATTATTATGACTTTTTCCTCGTACCACAAAGTATTCGACAAGGTACGGTAACTCCAACTCATTACATCGTTATCCATGATTCATCTACCATGGAAACGGATCACGTGCAACGACTTACATATAAACTTTGTCATTTGTATTACAATTGGCCCGGTACGATTCGTGTACCCGCTCCTTGTCAATATGCGCACAAACTTGTGTATCTAGTCGGTCAAAATATTCTGGCTGAACCACATCAATCCTTTTCAGATACCTTATTTTATTTGTAATTTTATTATTCAACTTTCCTTATTTTTAATTATCTTTCTTTTCTTTTCTCCTTGTATGAAGTAATAAATATCATTAGGTAAGCATTTTGGAACAAGATAACACATAATTGATATGATTTGTTTGATTGTGTTTTTGGAGAGATCGATGTCAATTATCGATCATGAATCACAATCTAATGTGTATCATAACGAGTTAAAAATTAGACAACTAATTTAGACAAAGATCACACAAAGAGAGATAAAAGACTATACCAAGTATACTATGTGACAAACAAAGCACTTGGAATAAGTCTCGTTTATGTATTAGTTTATTTATTATGTAGTTAACACTTGCATTTGTATTAACCTAGAAAGTAATTATTGCAGTAGCACTCAGGTAAATACCAATGTAAGTTTGTTGTTCTTAACTAACATAGAATTTAATCTTGTTAATTGTATTTTATATTTACAATTATGAGATCTTATTTCCCCCCTTTTTTTTTAATTTTTATTTTCGAAAACCAACTGTGCTTCATGTATTTGAAAATCATTAGATTTGTTTTTGCATTAATGATAATTTACATAGTACTAAGAATAGAGAACTTTTCTTATTTTCGTGGTCTTGTTAAAATTTTACAAAATTATTGGAGAATATATTAAAATAAAAATTTA